ACCATATAAGGCACACCTCAAAACTATGCTAAAAGATGTAGTTTCATGGCTGGAAAGCCTTACAATGGTATAAAAGTTTATAAATTTATTGTCACTCCTAATTATGAAATTTAAGGCCTAAAAAAAATGATGCAAATCAAGTAGATCTAAAGCAATTAATTTTTTTGAAACTAGACGGTCGAGATAATACGTTGCTAGTTTTTTTTCCTCTCCATATCCATACATCTTGAGGTTGAGATGATCAATTTGAAGTTTTTTTGATGTCGAACTAGTGAGAATTTGGCTGTAATTCCAAGTCCTGGACTATGTTGGGTTTGAACCTAAGAGGTAAAAGCCAAGAAAGGGAATATTTGTGATGCTCAAAATCACATGGTTCTTAGATTTGAGCACAGTCACTTGGTTCTTTATTTTGGATGTATGAAATGCTTTTGCCAGTTATTAGTTCATTAAGTGAGTAAATTGATTGATTAATGTGGTAGTTTTTCTAATCGTGTTTATTTATTCTATTTGTGAAGTGTGCTGTTTTAGGTAGTGGGTTGAGAATTGAAAGAGTTTTGGTTGGTGGGATAGATAAATTGACCTTGTCTTGCAGCCAAGATTTGCTCTTAAGCCTTTTGCATGTCACTTATTTTTAATATTTTATTATTTTCAATTGATGGGCGGAATGTGTTTACATTACTGTTTATTTAAATTTGGGTTTATTTGTTTTCGACCTCTCGACTTTGAGGGAAATGGGTTAAGATAATCAAAGAATGACCTGAGCCCATATTTTCTGCATTTTATATATTTGAATTGGTTGTTAGTGTCTTGCTAGGAGATAATTGTGCTTATTGGATAGTTGTGTGGGCATTTCTCTACTTGGCTGTGGGTTAACCCTCTTTTTATTGGAAATATGTACTGTTACCAGAAACTCATTCCATCATAGTGGAATTTTTATTGCCTACTTTTGCCTTCAACACTTGGTAACGGATGAATTTTCTATTCTGAGAACCACGTTTACCTTTGGTATTCTTCTAGCTTACGGAGGAATGATGTTTTACTTTAAAACCTTATAGGGAATTTTGTTGGTATATTCTAATTTTCCAGAAGGTCACATGTGTCCTAGTGCACTCATGTGATATTATTTACTTATTCAGCATCTATGTTATCGTCTTGAATAAATATTGTGGTTGAGTTAAATTAGATTCTAACAATAATCTATTTCCTAAACTTTGATCAGTGAGGGAGGCGAAAGATGATTCTTCAGCCGGGCGAGGTGGCGGCCGAGGTGTGGGACGCGGTCTGGGCCGTGGGGTTGGGCGTGGTGGTGGTCGTGGTGGTGGTGGCTTCAATAGGGAGTTCAATAACAATGGGACCAACACATACTCAAATGGTTCTTCAGGGGGGGTTATCCCAAGCGAAGAGGGAGATGGAGGAAAACCTTCATCTGATAGGCCACGTGGTGGCTATAGTGGGCCGCGGCCTCCATACCGTGGCGGGCGTCGTGGAGGCTTTGGAAATGGTGTTGTCGGTGACTCGGAAAGGCCACGGAGACAGTTTGAGCGCCGTAGTGGAACTGGACGTGGTAATGAGACTAAGCGTGAAGGTGCTGGTCGTGGCAATTGGGGAACTCCAACAGATGATGGATTTGCTGTCCAGTTGAGTACCTCTCAAGCTTGCCAAGAAGGATTCTTGGTGATTGTTTCTATTCCATTCTTTGTTTTTTATGAGGTTTCTTGATGATATCCTTTTATTCAAACACATTTGGTGATCCAATGAGTGTTGGTGGTGTCAAGGGTAACTTTTGGACTTTGAAGGGTGGGGTACTTGCTTGCATACAAATACTTTTCTAATCAGTTAAAAATAAAAAATATTTTTTGCAGTATTCTAAATATTTATCAAATCAATTAAAAATTTTTAAAATAATTTTTTTCAATATTCCTCACTTTTACTCCTTTTCCTTTATTTTTCTGTTATTTCCCCCATTTTTCGTTTTCTCCATCTCTACCCCTTTTTCCACTTTTTGCTTGAGTGCCATTTCTCCTGCAATAGTGGCCATCCTTATATGAAGGCAACAATATACATGCTTCCGACCACCTGTGCCAAACAGGGAGTTCGAAAAAATCTGCTCACGACTTCCTTTTGAGCCTCAGACTTTTGAGAAGAAGACACCTTTCTCCTTTTCATTTTTTGTTTACTTTCTTCTCTCTGTTTCTCTTTTTTTTCGCTTCTCACCTTAACACTATATCACTATCTAACCTTGTGACCAACTTCCTATTCCTATCTCTCTTTCTTACAAATTTAATGTGTCAAGCTTCAATCTGCTGGCTCTTTAATTTAAATCTCTCTGTTTTTTTTACGGTTACTAGTTTTCTTTCTTTTCTTTTCTTTTGGTATGAGCACCCAACCTGTGGGCCACCTTTACTCACTTGTGAGTTTTTTTTTTGTTATTATAAAATTCATATTAATATAGTGTTACCTTTGTCAGAGAAATTAAATAAAAAATGCTTGCGTATGTAATAGATGTGTGTATGTAGGTATGCAGATTTCTGCACGTCTATGTGCTTTGTACAAATGTGTGTGTAAATTTTTATTTTTATTTTATTTATGATGAAGGCTCTATAAGGCCTAGGCTTTAGAGCTGGGAAATCTCGTAAATAGTATAATGCGATCCATCTCCTGTCAGGGGAAAGCACTTTCGGCAACGGAAATCTCCATGATGGGTTTTAAATCAATTTCCAACACTGACCAAAATTTTGAAACTCAAAAAAATGGTACAGATTTTGTGGATTGATGAACACTTATTTTTAGGGTGAAATGGACGGTTTAGATAATTTGTTACAATGTAAACAATTTTTAGAGCTTAAAATCCTAATTTTTGTTTTTCACAACTAATATTTTCAAGCTGAGATGATCGATGTAAAGGTTTTCCAATGCTTGAATTGTAATTTTCAATGAATTTTGAGGTGCGTCTTTACTTATTTTGATAGGGCTGCAGCCCTATCAAACCCTTTCCCCTTTTTTTTTTTTATGGTGTACAAGTGTGGGTAGTTATTTAGATTGTTTATGCACTTTCTTGATAAGGGCATTTGCTTTTATAAATTAGGGAGTCTGAGGCCGTTGCAAATGTGGAAGAGAAAAACCCAACCCCTGAGAAGCAACCAGAGCAAGAAGATGGTGTTGATGCTGGCAAGGAAAAGGAAAATGCAGTTAATGAACCGGAGGAAAAGGAACCTGAGGATAAGGTATGCTGTGATCTTGATTTTCTTCTGTTCTCTCATGGATTTGTTATATTTATAACTGGTTATTGAACCTTACTCAGTTGAAGTGCTATTGATATTTTAATGCTAAAACATGTAGAGGCATTCTTCATCTAAGTCCTGTGTGGGGATTGTGGCACATCTGAAAAGATAACGAGATTGCATTACTTGAAATGGGAATCGAGGATTCAAGTGCCTCAGACATGTTGAGTTTGGGTCACATTTTACATGTATCTCTTATCCATGCTTTCTTCTTGTCATACCAGCCTGCTTGATTCTTATGGATATTGAGATTTCCTCTTTCCTCCTCGGTCTCAAAAACTTTTTTATTCTTTAATATTAGTCATTAGTTTGCTTCTGTTTAAAAGTCTATAGAATTTCTTTGGTCTTTCATTTTGCATTGCACTTGTTGGCATTTCAACCAAGTGTTTGGGAAATCACCTCAGGTAAGTCACTCAGCCCTTGGTTCAGGCAAGTAACTTGGCCGAGTCTGAGTGGACTTGGTTGAGTTATGTATGCCCCTGTAAAATGTAAAACAGTAAAAAAAATTATAAAAAGGTTGAAAAAAAGAAGGAAAAGTTAAGAGTTAAGAGCAATCATTAGAAGACTAAAGAAGAAGAAAGAAATCTATAAAGATGGACTATTGAAAAAAAATCATTTATACCTTGAAAATTTCAGAACTATTGAAAAATTTGATTTACACCTTGAATAATTCAGAATTTTTTTTTTTTAACAAAGGAAAGATATGAAAGTTGCCAGATCATCTTAAAAACTATCAAAATCATCTAAAAAAATGTTTCTAAGCAATATATTGGTAATTTCTTATATTTGAACTTTTTTGGGGTATATTTTTTTTGGAAGTTTTTACTGCACTGCCTAGGGTTTCAGTGTCGAGCAACAAATTATACATGTTCAAATCCCAGCTAGCCTTATTACAAATATACTAATTATATCTAATTCCCTTTGTTTATGATACCATGTACTTGTTCATTTATTTTTGTTTTCTATTTATAATTGGTGCTGTTGTTATGAATTTGCACATAAGCTTCAGTTTGTTCTTTTGCTGTATCTCATTTATAGATCTCCTTCATACGCATAAAGTTATACCTCGTGTTGAATAGGAGATGACTTTAGAAGAATATGAGAAAGTACGAGAGGAGAAGCGAAAAGCGCTTCTTGCAATGAAGCCTGAAGAGAGGAAAGTTGATGTAGACAAGGAGTTCAAATCGATGCAACAACTTTCACTCAAGAAGGGAAATGATGATATTTTCATAAAGTTGGTAAGTAAGATGTCAAATAAACACAGGGCATACTTTTGAGGGATTAAATATTTTCATCATTTTTGTAATATCAGAACCAAACTTCTATCAGGTTCTTTATTTTGTGGTCTTGGTTTTTTTCTGGCTCTAATGTGCTTGTGGTGGTTGACTTAGGGATCTGACAAAGACTCTAACAGAAGAAAAGACAGTGCTGAAAAGGATGAAAGGGTTAAAAAGGTATTGGTGGACTACTTTGATTTTTCTCTATCACTGTGTTACATGGACATGGATGTGTATGTTTCAGACTGACCCATTGTGTCCTACATGGATCCTCTCAAAAAACCGTGTCTGACACAACATATTCATGCGTGTCCGAACAAATGCTTACATATGTTTTTTATATGAAATAAATTTTAGAATTTTATTTATAATATGTGCTTATATCACAAACACACTTCCCTAGCAATACAGACTTGTGTCCAGAATTATGGACATGCATGTGAAGTGATGTACCTGTGTGCTCAGAATTATGGGCACACATGATAAATGGTAGATGCGCCAAGTGATGTGTCTAACACGTGTCAATGTCAGACATGCCAAGCATCCCCTCTATGATGCTATCTCATTTTTGAGACACGCTGTAGACATGCCTAGCATGCTGACATGCTGAGATGTTTCACAGATATGTATGTATCAAACATTCCCAAACATGCCTGACACATGTATCATTGTAACCTTGGACTGCCAAAAGAAAAGTACTTTGATGATGGGATCTTATGTTAATTTTTCTATTGTATTGTTGGGCATGTCCAAACCCTTGTCTTTCCAAACCCCCTTGTCTTTGGAAGTCTCTGAGCATCAACGAGTTCTTGAAGCCTGCTGAAGGGGAAAAGTACTATAGTCCCGGAGGTCGAGGTCGTGGCCGTGGCCGTGGTGATCGTGGAGGATATAGAGGAGGCTATACTGGTTCTAGTGCAAATGTTGCCCTTGCTCCTAGTATTGAAGATCCAGGACAATTCCCTACATTAGGTGGGAAGTAGAAGTCCTGTGCCACTGAATGCTTGCTTCTCTCTTTTCTTCAGGGTTTTCCAATCGCAAAGAGTTGATGCCAGGATCCAGCAGAATAATGAGGTTTCCTGTATCTAAGACATTTTTAATTTTTAAAGATGTATATTTCGGTGTCACCTTTGTTTTTCACGTTGTATGCTTGTTGTTGTTTGGACTTATTTATCAATTTTGATCATGCATCATCTTACTTTCTCAATGGAAAACATCTTGCTCTATATTTGGCATAGCCTAGTGATTTCTTTGCCTCCACTCCCTAATATTTTTTGTGTTTACTTGTGTTGCTATTCAAACTGGGTTTCCTCTTGCTATTTAAGATTTCACCTTGCAACAATTTCTGCCTTAAAGCATCCATTTTATAGAAATGTTTCATTCTAGTAAGGAGGTCTGACCAGTATGTTTGACGTATTATGGTGGACTCTTCTCCTTGCAGTGATAGTCTTCACTTTGTGACGGAGATCTCGCTTGATGCTAGCTGAATGTTTTCATCTCGAAAATAACTTAGCCAAATTATTTGTGTTGTAATAAGACTGCAGCTCTTCACCCTGAAATATTAACTCGATGAATTTATACATGAATCTTTCTCCCTGTACTAGTTCTGATTATGTAACATATATGATTCTGACTAAAATTTCAAATGTTGCTCTGCTTATGTTGTGGGGTATTACCAAGAAATATAGCCAAGAATTTCTAATTGGGAAGTTCTTACTCCTTGTTATTATATCTATTGAGTTTAATTCGTTTGGGACTGCATAGCGTGGCATGTTATTCTTGTTACTTACAGGCACTAACGCTTGTGAGACATACTACTGAAATTTCAAACAAGTCCTTGATAATTGTCTGCCTACCCTAAAACACATTGGTTCTTGAATGAACTTTGTTGAGAGCAAACATGTTTGGATTATGTACTTGAAGAGATTAGGTTTTTTAAAGTTTTACTTGTGTCAACCTGTTGTTTTACACCAAGCTATGATTTACATTCATTGAAATTTGGTGCTCTATTTCTATTATTAGTGATAAATGGAGATTGGGCTGACTTTCTAGCTATACTGTTGTGTGGTCTCTAGTTTGGTTCTGATAGCTTGGTTTCTGTTTTTGAAGTATTAAATCTTGTATGATTTGCATATGAAGGAACCTTATAACATACAGTGTGGTGACATCTCGAGAACTATGCAACATGATTTTGGTGTCACATGTTGCTTTCTGTTTTGAATTAAAGGATATTTGTTACAGATCAAAAAAGAAAATCATAAAATCTTCAAACAAAAAAATGATAAAAGATTTGCTTGTGAATCAGTATGTAATTTGTTTGGGTTCACCATAAATGATCTATTTGATTCCATACTTTACTAATTTTGTTTCAACTTTGGAGATAGAATCTCAGTTACGGGAGCCTTCCACTTCATATGACTTCTACCAGAAACTGAGACCCAGTTTCCTCAATGAAACCTTGTTTGTCAAGTGATTCCTATGCTAATCCTTCTTGTGCTCATGTTCTCTGTCCCTTATCCATACTCTTAGATGCCTTTAAAGCAGCTTGTTGGGGCTGTTTAGTGGGAATTGTTGGGGCTGTTTATTGGGAATTTGGTGTACAAAAGTGTCATTGGCTCTATTGGGCCCATGTTTGAGCTACTGTTTAGAATGTTGGAAGGGTGTTGGGCCTGTGTTTGAGCTACTGGTTATAATGTTGGAAGACCGTTGGGCCAGTGTTTGAGCTACTGTTTTGAATGTTGGAAGACGGGTGATAGGATAACAAGATTCTGATGAGACATTACTTGTAGCACAACTGAAATTGTATCACAGAAAGGTTTGAACTCGGTTTCTAGATTATAAATGGAATTTGGTTTCTTACCCATAGTATGGGGCTTGGGACTTCTTATGTGATGTTGATATAATCCCGTAAGCCAGGGTACATTGGTTAGTTCCTCAGGAGTGTTGGAAAGATTGGGGTTGGTACTTAGGAAGGGTTGTCTGTCCAAATAAATAAAATGAAATATAAAATTAGTGGCGAACTCATCTGGGTCCCATGTATGTGGCTGTGGGTTCGGCACCCTGTCAGATCAGAGTGATACGGGCAAAAACCGAATAGACTTCCCCGAGCTTTCCGACACTGGTTTCTTGTATTCCTAATATTTGTTTTGGCTGGTTGCTGCATTCTGCGAGAGAAATTGAAATCCTCTCACGATGTGCATGTCATATATGCCAGTGTTATCAGGATTGTATCGGTGCATGAGCTCAAAAATCTGCCCAATTGGCGGTTACAATGCTCGACTGCTCAATCCTTTTCTTCAACATAAGGTAATATATGAAAAATTACTGAAAAGTAAGAATTCTCTCAAATTATTCTAAAAATTCTAGTTAAACAAGTGAACATTGCTTTATAAAATTCAGTAAATTTACTATGGTTAAACATTGGTAAATAATTAACATTGCACTCTATTTAATTAGACCTTGCATCTAACTAACACTAAATAATTAAATATAATTTATTGGTCATATGCTAGGCCCGCCGAGAGAGATTACTTAAACAGAAAAAGTAATAAATTGCAAGTTTGACCTATTTTTTGACAAAAAAGAAAGAATAAAGTCTTGTACAATACAAGGAATTGATTTAGATCATCATTTTAGCCATTTTCTAAGTAATTGGGTCGGCTACATGAATCTTGGGTCTTCATGAAATGGAAGAAAAAGAAAAATCAAATCTGCTTTGAATAAGTTTGAAATAAAATAAATCCTAAGATTGAAACATAGGCTATCTAATTTTGTGTTATGTATAAGTTTGAAATAAAATAAATTCTAAGATTGACCATAGACTATCAAATTTTTGGACTATGAGATCTAACCGTCTAAGAACTCAAAATCCATTTTCATTTCGTAGAAGTAATTATATGGTATTTCCTAGATGGATCCCAAAGTTTTAAATCCCCAAAAGTCTTCATAATTCGCACTCTTGCTCAAGAGAGTTAGTGTATATGGTACTCCAAGTGAAGCTTGCTATTGATTTAGCTTGCAGTAACTTTTGCTACCATATAAATAATGTAGTACAAAGGATATTATTGAACAATTCTATTTTCATATTAGCAATATGTGCATTTGATTTGTAAAATTTGTGCATAGAAATAAATTTATGTATGTTCATAAAAGAAATGTATATGAAATTACATATGATGTTGGGAAAGTATATGATGTGACCATTTGTCTTTGGTACAAGGTGGTCACAAATAATCTTTGACCATTCCATATGAAATTGGGTGGTTGCATTTATTTCATTGATCAAATTCAAAGTTTAAAAGAAAATTTTTTGAACGTTGTTACACATTTAAGCTATCAGATATCACATAAGATGGTTGTAAGTAATTGTCACCTTTTTTTACAAAAGGTAAATGGTGTCATTGTATCCAATCCCTATGATGTATATCTTCCTTAAGAAAGAAAAGAAAGAGAAAAAAGAACTTTTATCTAATGTCTAATTAGATGATCTCCTAAAATTCACTGGCCGCTAATTCTGAATGGAATATTAGTAACTCCTTTGCCAAATTGTAATCAATAATAAAAGCATGCAGTTTATATCAGTGGGTAGGCAATCTGGGTCTATGGAGTTAAAGCCCTTGATTCCCACTTACTTTCGTTCTTTTATTATTATTTGCTTTATTCCCAGATGATCCCGATTGGTATAGAAGCCGGTTAGTTCAACTGGCTGCTTGAGGGTTTGCACATTTTTGGATGTCATAATTCCTATTTCCCTAGCTTTTCATGTTCTTCTACTTGCTGTTGGTTTCATGAAATTGGAAGGAGTTAATGAGTGGACTAAAATTTTCCCACCTTAATGGGATAAGTGTATCGTGTCATGATAAATGGGGTGCCTGTGAGAACTCTACTTAATCATCTCAAAAGATTTCCTGCTCTTGTGGAGCATATTGCCCATTTGTTCCCTTTAGTGAAACCCAAACTAGGGGTTAGTTTGGGACCCCAAAATTTGGCCATCCTCTTCAACCTAGCAACCAACCGCATTAAAAAAAAAAAAGGGAAAATAAAATTAGATCCAATCTCTATGAGCTTGAAAAAACAATGTCCTAAAGTTTAACGGAGGCACTCCAATTTATGGAAAACAATATCCGGTGTTTACACAAAATTCAAATTGTTTTTGAAGAATAATCATCTTTAGATGTCGACATCACATATGGTCAGCTTATTTAAGTCCGGTCTCTCTATCATCTTATCGTCTATTGGTGTTACACCTGAGCTTTCCCGAATAAATTAATTTTGGTTTCTATCCCTTCTTGTCTTGCCACTCATCCATCTCAACATCCTTATTTTCGCTACACTCATTTTATGGGTATATTGCTTTTTGACTGTCTAATATTCCGCTCCATAAAGCAAAGTTGGTCTCATGGTTGACCTATAGAACTTACCTTTCAGCTTCATTGGTATGCGGTGATTGCATAAAATTCTAGTTGCACATCTCTACTTTGTCCACCCAGTTCTAATTTTGTTGCGATATCTTCCTCACTATCTACATTTCTTGGATTATCAATCCAACGTATCATATACCATCAATGTTAACTACTTCATCGTCTCTGCTCCTATTATTATTAAACTTGCATTCCATATATTCTGTCTTAGTCCAGCTATCACTAAAATTTTAAGAAAGAAAATTATTTGGTGCGTAAGCCGACTATCCTTTTTATATGTGGCCCCCTTTCAAAACTCCATCTTAAACATAGATTTTGGATCTAAAATTTTAGAATCGGTAATCTCAATTATAAAGATGAATATAAATTTAGAAGTTTTCTAAATACAATTTTTTTTTTTTTAAAATATCATTCATTTTGTCTTTTTACGTGGGGGTGGGGGGGGGGGGGGGGAGGGGGGAGAAGGGTACCATATTTTAATGTATATCTTATATATAAACTTTTGATCCTTAAGGGGATGGAGAATTGCAGTGAGGAAGAAAAAGAGAGAGAACGAATGGGAGCATTATTGAGGGAGAAAGAGGAAGGGAGAGAAGAGAGAAGAGGATGAAGGGAGATCGAGGATAAACGTGTAGGAAGAGGAAGATTGAAAGGGGAAGATTGATCATTAAAGACAAACAAAAGCAAGTAAAAGAGCGTAAACAAAAGATTATTATTTTTTTACAATTTAAAGAAAAGGAAGTAGAGGAGCCGGGATTCTACAGTATAAGATCATTTATTTCAAATACAAAGAAGTTACAGTCACT